CAAACATTGAAAAGTATGACCTGCCAGTTCAAAACAAGCAAAAGGACACAAAACAGTGATAGGAGAATTAAAGAACAATATAAACCAGAATTAGGAAAACTCATGAAGGATGTGAAATAACTCAGGAAAGAACTAGATAAAATCACCTTACAAATGTGCACTAAACTAGAAAGAATATAGAAATCAATAAACAAAACAGGCAATGCGTTCTGACAAACAGGAGGAAAGACAGGACATTTTTACAAAGAAACCAAGAAATAAAGAAATGCCTGGTTCTGGTTAAGACTGAGTGAGTATATCCTCTCTCCCCCACTGACTGCAACCGGAAGTCCTGCACAAAAGACACTAAGCAATTCTCTGAGCTCTGGAACATAAGTGATGCAGGTAGTGAATCCAGGTCCAGCCATTAACGAGATCTGAACAAGTCAAGAGAAAGATATTCCAGAGTGGGCTAGTATGAATAAAGTGGTATGATGTAATATGAGGGGTCCCAAAAAAAACAAGGAAAAGTTTTGGTAAGGTGGGGCTAGACACGAGGAAAGCCAAAAAGAAGCAAAGGACAAATAAAATGTCAACTCCTTCTAAAACCTTCCCTCATTCGCCCCATTCCTAAGAGAACAACACGGCTGCCTTCTCAGAACTCTGAGCACCACTGTGCTCCTCTCACAGCCCATTGCCCACCGAGTCCTTACTACTGTCCCATGCACCAGCCTCCCGTAGCAGACTGAGCTGAAGACAGAGAATATATGCATCGTATGTGCCTAGCACAGTGCCTAGGATAGAAAAGCCCTATCACTGTATGTGTGACAGAGGGAATTAATGTGTTTTCAAAAAGCCAACAGGTAGCTTTGCAGGTGCTGGGGCACAGGGATAACATGAAGTAGATATTTAAAGATTACCCTTTAAATATCTGCTTCATGACTATAGTGTGAGTCCAATGGAAACTAAAGCTGGACAAACAAATCCAACTTCATCTGCAGAGCCCTTAAAAATTAGATTGAGATTCAAATGCAGCTATAAATTCCTTATCTGAACACTTAAATACAATTTTTCAAATATGTTTCCCAGGTTTATCGTTATCAGTCGTTTGATATTCAGGCATACCTCGTTCTACTGAGGTCACTTTATTGTGCTTTGCAGATATTGTATTTTCTACAAATTGAATGTTAAGACCCTCCACCAGCAAAAAGATTACACTCACTGAAGGCTCAGATGAGGGATAGCATTTTTAGCACTAAAGCATTTTTAATAAGTTTTTATTGATTTGGGGGAGGGAAGTAGGGGAAGAGGAGAGGAGAAACACAGAGAGGGAGGGAGGGGTAGAGGAGGAAAGGGGGAGAGAAGGAAGGGGGGAGAGGAAGAGAGAAAGGGAGAGAGAGAGGGAGAGGGAGAGGGAAAGAAAGAGGGAAGGGGGGAACAAACGAACCATGAAAGTGAAAGAGAAACATAGATTGGTTGCTTCCCGCATGTCCCCTACCAAGAATCGAGCCTGAAATCTGGGCATGTGCTCTGACCTGGAATCAAACCGGAGCCCTTCCAATGCATGGGACAATGTTTAACCAACTGAGCACCACCAGCCAGGGCACCAATAAATATTCTTAAGGTAATGTATCTACACTGTTTTTTTAGACATAATGCTATTGTATACTTAATATAAGATAGTATATATAGTATAAATAAAACTTTATATGCACTGAGAAACCAAAAAATTCATAAGCCTCATTTCCTTTAGTACTGGCTTTATCACAGTGGTCTGGAATGGAACCCCAATATCTCCGAGATACCCCTATATACACATAGCCGGAAGTAAAAATTATATAATCTGGGGGGGGGGGGGGGGGGCGGGAGAAAGTCTTATTCAGATTCAACCAGCTCCTTTTGACTGTGATTAAAAAAAAAAAAAAAAAACACAGACATTTGTATGGAGGAAGATCAATGTACTAATCTTGGAAGGTAGAAAGGTTTCATAGCAGACAGCAGAAACACGCGCGTGTAATGCCAGAATGGTCTATTCATTGGAAGCAACAAGCCCTTCAGATTCTGGTGTGAATCTCCCTCTATAGTTAGATTCCATGTACTGCTCAGCGTGTACTGACAACTGTGTGACGCTCAAAGGGAAAACACTATAAAATAAGTAAGCCATACCACCCAATCATCTACTGGGGCATAGTCTTTCAACTGGAAAAAAACAGATTTTAGAAGTAATCCATTTGCTTCTGTACAACAAATTTTAGACAATCTTCAACTTAAATTAAAACCACACTTTCTTAATACAAAATCCTTTAGCTAAAATATACTGAAGGCTGCCAAGATATACTGAGGGCTACTAAAACCTAAAAGAAACAACAAAAATGTTTGGATGCCCTAGTTGCAAAATACATGAACTCAGCTAGAAAAGTACTAGTGTATTTGCAGCCAACAGGAATCATGATTAAGCTACAGAAAGACGTGTTTTTCTTGTCATCTTTATTCAAGTATTTCACAGCAGTTATATTACAAATTACAGTAAATGTTCAAAATTCCAGAATTCAAAAATTAAATAATTTACTTCAAACTAATGTAAAATGAAGTCAAATGCAAAACATCAATTTAGCACAATTCTAAATAAACTACAAACCCAAAATAGACCCTCGTGATGAAGTCTACTTAAATCTACAAAGTAGACACACATGACTGAAACCAAAAATGACTCCCAAAGTTTTAACAACCGAATGTACAAAATACAAAAGATGCAGGTACAAGCCCAAATTCAAGCTTACAATGTGATTACAAATGATAATTATAACAACAATGGCATTCAGCTACGGGACCTGACACTGACGATACTGAATAGCACCATAGCTGATCCAACTTAATCAAAAAGTGGGAGGATATTATGATCCCACTTCCTAAAACAAAATCCAGTAAACCTACAAATACATTGGCATATGAGAAAAATCAAGTCATGAAAGGACATAAAGCAAAACAGAACAAATTAATCACAGGTGAGATTCAAGCTCAAAAACACAATTAATTCCACAGCCATCAGTTTCAATCCTAGTGTGGTTCCCTCTCTCCCAACAGCACCCGCGGTCCCCACAGCTGAGCATTAGCTGTTGTTGGGCTGTGCTGCAGCACACATTTTATTGATCTGAGAGTAAGGTTTTACATGGGAGCTCACCATTTATAATGCTCACAATAGGAAATAGGAACAGAGGTCAATTTGTACATATTTTTGCCAATGCAAAAATTGAGAATTTACAGAAAGGTAAACAAAATCGAGTCCACGTGGATAATTTCACAAGCTGCTTTGAACTACAGAACCACCAGATGTCTGTAAAATGAGCGACACGGATAGAGCGTGTTTCTTTTGGGGGAGAAGAGGAGCTGAAGCTCCTTTTTCTCCCCTTGGCATTTGATTGGCTGTCTCTTTAAGACCCAAACTGTTCAAAGTGGCAGTTCCTATCATACTGAGGTTGCCTATTTCTCCATCTGTATTAAGGTTAAGGTTTTTAAAAATTTGATCTTTTGGAAGCATTTTAATGCTGAACGTAAATAAATTTCCTTGTCAAACTCACTGATGGCTAAAATCTTAATAAACTTGTACAAATTTAGTAACTTACTAACAACATGTGCGTTTTTACTTTTCCTTTCACAAGTGCTGCTGTTACTTGAACAGAATGCTTCTGAATTAGAGTAACTGGAATAAATATTTAAAAAAAAATAGTGCAGCAAGAACCTGAGACTTGCAAAAAACCCTTTTACCAGAAACTTGCTACAAAAAATCTGCTACATCTTATTTCTTCATCAAATCTTTAAATTCTGTAACAATTTCCATCAAAATACAAAATGCTAATGTATTAGACAGCAAAATAGTCTGAACTGGCATGATGGTAATAAATACTAAAGAAAGCATGTTAATCCTCCCAATAATCAAATTAGAGGTTTCAAATAACCTCCCTTTTAAAATGGTTCATCGTTAATCGCACTTGCCCACCTTAAAAATACAGTGTGTCTACATGGGTAGCATCTTGAATTACATGACTAACTGAATATTATGAAAATTTAGACTAGGTATACAGAAAACAAGTGGCATTTTTCAAAAAACAAAGCGAGAACTAGAAGGCGAAAAATGTTTCTGCTAATGCAAAGCAGCACTGGGATTACTGCGGCAGCCAGGGCCACGGCGGGCTTGCTGTGCTGGCACCCAGCACACGGCACAGCCGGACAGGAGACAAGTACCTTAGCTTCAGCGTGTAAACGGTGGCAAAGTGATTACAGGACTCTGTAAACACTGTTGGTAACTAAAATACAAAAAGCTGAGGTAGCTCAGGATCTCTGCAGTAGTCCAAGACCATTCGCTCTAATTAAAACACAAACTGCATGTGTTGCATATACTGGAAAGACAGGCCTGCAGCTAACAGCTACAATGAATGAAGATATCAAGCCAACTTGTCAAAATTTTCTACTTTTTTTGTTTAAAAATCATCTGATAAAAAAATGTCACTGCGCTCCCTTTTGCCTCTTTGCACCTGCCTGGACTGTGTCTCCCAATTTTATAGAAAGTTTTATAGAATTAGTGACCCATAATTAATTTTAGGTAAGTACAACTCACAGAAATCGTTCAACAAGATCCAAAATGGGTTCCAATCAAAATGAACAGTTGTGAAAAGGTTAAGCTTAGGGTAAGGGATTTAAACATTTAATACTGTTATTCCAAGAACCACACCAGAGCTCACTTGCAACTATGCATATAGAAAATGAATTTTATGAAGCTTCTGACAAATTCCTCTCTTTTCTGTCCATTTGGCAAGCCCTGGCTTTAAAACAAAACAGTACCAATTTATTGTACATGAAAATCATTCTCTGGGAACTCAAACATGAATAACTAGTAAATTGCCGCTGACAGAAGAAATAATGCCTGCTATCTACTTACTTCTGGTCATCATTGTCAGCAATACCGAAAAGTGTGTGTGTGTGTGTGTGTGTGTGTGTGTGTGTGTGTGTGTGTGTGTGTTTTAGTGGACTGTGGATTCTTTTTGTACTTGTTTTATTATGTGTTTTTAAAACAGAAACAGGCCATTCGGGAAAACTTACCTTTTTAATATATTATGTGGCATACCAAGTATCTTGACTGAGTTCTGAAAACAAGATAGGCATTTTATACCAAAACACTGGTTGCCTCTTACTGACACAGAGTATCAAACATTTTTAAGGTTGTGACCAAAGAAAACATTCTAGTTCATTTGCTACAAACAAGCCCATCCTTTTGTTTAGCCTTATCTTTCTCAAATGAATAAAAAGGCACATTAAAGGCAGTTCTAAAGAGCCGAATCTAATTTCATCCAGTTTCTTCAGTTTCCCATCAGAATATACCATAACCAACTCTTGAGCAGGTTTCAGTCCATTACCCAGAGGAAAAAATAGAAACAAATATGATAAAAGGGGTAGAAAAGAGAAAAAATAGAACAGGTTGCCCACTGTTTAAACAAGTCAACAGTTAGAACTGCCCCTGCATCCAGTTTCCCGTTTCTGGCCTGCTCCCTACGAGAGCGTCTCCGAAAGGGCAGCGCCAACAGAGGAGCACAAGTGAGAGCAGTTTCTGCAGCACCACGGTCTCCGATCTGTGGGTTGTATTTTTACTTGTGGAAAATACAACACTTCTGAAGTTCTGTTTGGTTCTTGTAGGCTGGTTGGTTTCAGGTACCTGAGACAATAGCACCAAATTCAACAGAGAAAGAATGAGAGAGAGAGAGAGCACTTTACACCTAGGCTCTGCCCGATTGGTGCAATTTGAAATTGAATGGCTCAGAAGACTGCTCTGTCAGGAGCAGATTGGAGAGGATAAACCACTCATCTTGCAAAGTTCATAGGAATGTCTCAAATGTATGAACTGTTCTTTCCATCTCCTATAAGAGAAAAAAAAAAAGTGCATGTCATCTAAAGGAAGGACACATTACTATGGGGAAATTTACTTGAACATTTTAAAGAATTTTAGATACAAGTTAAGCTTTAAGCATTTTTCTGATTACAATACCAAGCTACTCTGTAAGACTATCTGCCCCAGACACCTCCAAATGCCTCCCATTTTACAGGTAGGCTGATGAGAATGACACTCGTTAATACTCAACGAGTCCTTACTACAGATATTGTGCTAAGAAGTTTGTATGTACAGATAATTTGTCAACTAATAAGTAGCAGAGTCAGGATATGAATGCAGGGCCTGAGCCCTTTCTTACGCATTACATTAAACTAGCGCCCAAAGCAAAACGGGTGCGTTAAGTATAGTAAAACGTGTACCCGAAGTAGAACACACCCTGATCCCACTGCTATTCACTCAACCAGAGCTGGGGGGAAAAGCCAGGAGTACCGCCACCACCACCACCAAGAACGCCACTGACTGGTGACTGTGCCACAGATCCCCTCTCTCTCTGACCAAGGCCTCTACATAACAGAGCTCCGAGTACCACACTGAAGGACATTTCATTTCATTCCAATCCTTTCGAGCTAATCAAGGTTCAATGTGAACAAAGAAGTCTGGAATAAGGAAAAAGGGTAAAAAACTCTACCCCACACATTTCGTTCTGATGGGCAATTATCAAATATATCTAATATATTTGGTTTTCACCTCTGAAGATATTATAGTCTATGTTCTGTAGAACAGGCTAAACTAACAGATTATAATCTAATCAAAAAGTTAACTCCTGCTAAATGTTTTTTAGCTGGGTAGGAAAAAAGCCAGGCTATAAAATAGAATATATACTATGCTCCCAATTTCAAAATCTACATGCACATGCCTACACATGTCATGTACATCTAGACATTTTTTTTTTTAAAGAATGGAAATTATTCCAAAAGATTACCACTAAGTTTCTTCTAGGTGGGATAATTTGGGTGATTTTTTTATTTTCTCATTTGTGCTTTCCTATTATTTCTATACTAGAAGCCTGGTGCATAGATTCGTGCACATTGAAAGGAAATTAATTAGAAGGTGGCCAGCAGGGGAGGACGGGCCGGACACATCCTGGAGCTAACCTCCTAATAAGTAGCAGTTCCTTCCCGGCTGGCTACACCTGGGGCCACGGCTCAGAGTGTCTGCGAGTGAGCAGGGTCCCTCCGGCAGTCCAACATCTCCCGAGGGGTCCCAGAGTGTAAGAGGGCACTCTGCAAAGTTGCTGTCACTTGGCAGCTCCTGCATTGAGCATCTGCTCCCTGGTGATCAGTGCACATCATACCTACCAGCTGGTCAACAGGTCGCTTAGCCTTTTATATATATAGACTAGAGGTCCAGTGCACAAAATTCGTACCTGGGGGGTGGGGCCCTCAGCCGGACCTGCACCCTCTCTAATCTGGGAGCCCTGATGGCTTAGGCCCAGTCCCCATGGTTCTCTGCTCTCTGAGGGGCCTGGCCTTCCCACACCCGCTGCCCAGAGGCCCTCCGCGGCCAAGCTGGGGACAATTGCCTCGTCGCTGTGATGACGAAGCAAGCATTCCACCAACCACTCACGCTGCCTGTTCTCAGCAGCCACCCACCTATCCCCCCCAGGACGGGGGGACTCCAGCGGGGCTGAGTGCACTGGGCACCACCATTTTGTGGCTATGGGTACTGCCTTCTTTGTGATGGAGCGATGGTTAATTTGTGTATTACCCTTTTATTAGATAGGAAGGATATTGTGTAATGATAGTATAAATTCATAAAAATGTGACAATGTGATTACAATCTTTAAATGCCCTCTTACTTGATTCAAGTGCAATCAGTATTCTTTGTTACATATTTAAAATAATCACTTTCTTTACATATAAATCCTTACTCTTTTAGAAAAGCATCCCCAAAACCAAGCACAGTATCTGGAACTGTAGATCCTTAATAAATATTTAATAACTAGATCACCAGATAAACTAACAGGCAAATGAACAAAAAATAGTCTAATTAAGTCGCTTAGACAGTTAATAAGCAGATGAGGGATTACATTTGCTCAGATGAACTCAAAAAGCAGAAGTGTGGCTTCAGGATGTAATTTATATGAACAAAGACATAAGTTCATATTTATAAGGAAGAACTTCCTTAAGGCCGAAAGTTGGTTAGAAATGGAATAGTTTACTGCTAAAGTATCTAAGCAAAGGACAACTACTCCTTCACATGACTATTTTACAGAACTAAATCTATTAAATGAAATGACTTTTAAGTTTCTTTCTAACCATTAACTGGATGGTCATTAGGTACCAGTGCCCATGTTAACCTCTTTTTCTTTTTTTCCCCATGTCAACTCCTTTTAATCAGCAGTAGCTGCCTAGAGGAGCATTGGAGACACTGAGTGGCCACACGCACATTCAACAAGCCTGCATGATACACCTACTCAGTGATAAGCAAGGGAGGGGAGAATTGTCACCTGCTATTTTGTGTCAGCCCAGAACCATGAATTTCTGTGTTTCGATAAACAAAAAAAAATCCCAGATTATTTCTGTCCTGAGACAAGATAGTTCAAATTATAACTTTTACTGACTCTCCTAATCTTAATTCTTCAAAACATTCTTCAGTTACTTGACAAAGATCTAGACATTTCCTTTGGACACATAAAAGCACTTATCTGTTTGCTCAACAGATGAACCACGCACTTACCTCAATAAGTTGTGATTTGTCATAATCTTTGCGGTGACGATAGATGCACTGACTAAGAAGAGAATATAATCTCTCAAGTTGATCAACTGCCAGATTGTTGCTTTTATCTACCAACAAATCAAGCAATTTCTAAGAAAAATTAGAAAAAAAATAAATTTGATTTCACTATTCAAACTGAAACAATTATATATTCAATGCTAGGTAATAAACACAGGTGTGATGTTAACATTGAGTTTAGAAGATTCTAGGGCTTAGATTATAACCAATATAATTCTAATTTTTCTAAACCCCACAAAGCATATATAACTCTTTTCTTTTTATTCCCATCCAAGGATATGTGTATGTTTTTTATTGACTCTCAGAGAGAGAAATGGGAAGGAAGGAGGGAGGGAGGGGAAACATAGATGTGAGAGAAATATCGATTGTCTCCTGTATGTGTCCGACTAGAAATCAAACCCACAACCTTTTGGTGTACAGGACAATGCTCCAACCAACTGAGCAACCAGCCAGGGCCATAACTTTTTACTAGAAGCCTAAAGCACATATGTTCCTAGTTAAAGCAAAAAATTATTAAAAAATGGACACAGACACCAGGGGAGTGAGGGCATGAGTGGGGGTGGAGAGGAAATGGGGAATAAGGACACTTATGCACCACTTTACTCAATAAAGAGAGAAAAAAATTATCCAAACTAGTTTTATTCAGTAACCTACAAAACATTCAATTTACCTTCCATTCATTTAAAACTGCCTGGGAATAGCTAAACTTACCTTCAATCTCTCATGATCAACTATAAGAGGTGGCACAGGCTCAGAAGGCTCTTCTGGAACCAGCTCCAGGGTTGTTGCTTTTGCCTGTTCTAAAATTAACTTACGATATTTCTTTACTTTAGAAGCACCTACAATTGAGAAAATAAAGAATGCACTGCAGCAAGTAAAAGTTAAGAAGAATTAGGCTTAGCCAACTATAAACTCATTTGTCCACCATAAATCCTTTTTGGAATAAGAATGTATTCATTTTGGAATAACAGTGTCAGCAATAAATGGTATTGTTGTTTGGTTGTTTTTTTTTGTTTTTTGGTGTGTGTGTTTTTTTTGTGTTTTTTTTTTTTTTTTCGGGGGGGGGGGGGGGGGTAAGGATAAGTAACCCAAATTAAAGAGAACTAAAACTCAACTATGAAAGCCAATCATCAAATAAATATATCCACTAAAAGGAACATAAAAGCAATCTTTATCTCTAATCACTAACTAGTAAACAGCTTTCACTCTCTTTGTGATAAATTTGGAGCTTTCAGAATTGGAAGGGAGAAGATACCTATAAAATCAGACACTAACAAAATGAGGCCAGCCTGCTACCTATCTGCCTCCTAATGTAAAACATCTTCCTGAACATTGCCTGAAAGTTCTTATTTTTCTCTATTACAGTGCCTAGAATTCTATTCTAAATTGATCTGGGTTATAAGATTTATTTCTTAAAAAATAAAGATCCATTAAAGCTATAATAGGGCTAGTGATCTTTCCTAGCTTAGAGTGAATTAGTATAACCTAATTACTTTCCTCCCAAATCTTGCTGACATAAAAAGTACTGGGGGGGGGGGGGGGTGTTAAGGTGGCTGAGCATAATTTGACAGCACCAGGCACTTATGTGAAAAGAGGTAGGTAAACCATTGAGCCCTGTGCTCCCTTAAGTAGGAGTACTATAAGAGGAGGCTGAGGGGAAGGAACCCAAAGAGGAACTTAGACTATTTCAGAATTTTATACAGGGCCTGGTCCATGTCAATGAGACTAAGAAGAGCTTTCCTTCTCCTTCCTTATCCCCAAATTTTTAAACAAATCCTTCTCATCAGTGCCTGCTATACAGGTAAGTAATGAATCAAAATGTTGCCTTCAAAAGCATATTCCACAATACATCAGAGACATTTTATATTTCAGACAGCCTTTAGAATGAAATACTTGATTTATAGTTCAATTAACACTTGCTAGGAATTTTGTTAGACCACACTGGTACTCATTATTACATCCATTGCCTTCTAGAGGCCTGAGAACTTCGATTAGAAACCACTGCTAGGTAACACTGCCCCGACAGTTACAAATGAGAACTTCAGGTAAAGCTGTACAAAACAAATATCTTTAACACTTTTAGATTACCAACTGAACCTTTTAAATCTTTTCTGCAAGCTTACTAAAATCTCATAGCGAAGTAGTATTAAAAAGGACTCCTCCCCTCAAACCCGTTCTGCCGCATCATGTAAGTCTTCCCTTTTTTCTGTCCCATTCATTACTTAGCCTTAGCTTAACAGATTTTTTTAAGTTCTGTCTATATGACAGCCTAGAATAAATACAGCTTTTAAAACCATTTCCTATTATTAAATATAGAAGAAAAATTATTTAAGAATAATATTTAAGAACAGTACATCTCTCTTTATCCATTAAAAGAATTCTAAGACTTTTGAGTAATATCTCCCTACTTCCTGATTCTGCTAGAGGGCTCAAAAAACTGTCAGCAAAACCTTTTCCACTTAATACAAATCCCAGGCTAATTCCACACAACTTAGCCCAATTTTTTAGACAAAATTTCAAGATAGCCTCATAAAAAAGAAAATGTATATGGGATTGTATAGATCTCTAACTCATCCCATCCCACAATGGGCTAAAAAGTAATAATAAAGTAGGGCTAGAGATCCTCAACTCCCCATTTCTGCTGCTTCTTAAAAGAGTTACACAGCCATAGGCGGCCAGGAGCTGGCGCAGCGCTCTCATTGGGAGAACAAGGCAAATATGACAGCGAGAGTTCTGCTGCCTTCCTCTACCACTGGCCCTACAAAGCAATGGAGCCTCTTAGACTAAACATCTCTCAGATTCAACCACCAGTGATGACTGAATACTACCTGGAATGAACACTCCTCAGAACATGCCAGGTACCAGGAGAGGCAATTAATATACATGACATCTGTGGTTGCTGTAGTGACACCATTCTCAAGTTTCATTTAAAAAGTGAAAAAACAGGGTTGGAGAGTATAAGTATCTAGCTCAGTCACATGATTATAATGAACAGGAGCGGTAATTTAATATGGTCTACATGACTGAATATACCACACTGTTTTAGTACCTAAGTCATCTCAGACCAACCCACCCACACCCCATCCCAGTAATTGTTTTGTTAGAACGCCATCTTCTTAACACCTGTGGATGTACTCAACTTTCAGTCATAAATGGGAATAGGGATGATAATCAGGTGGGAGCCAGGAGTGTAAGCGGCTAGGAAAACAAAGCATTCTAGAACACAAACCTTTTGACATGTTCACCAAAATTTAGAATGTATGTGCATACTTTTGTAGGGCAACTAGAAACTAGAAAACTTTAACAGATTTTCAAAGGAGTATAGTTATTTGGCAACCATTTTTACTGAGGGCTAGACAAAATATGCAACTAATTAACTCTGGAGTTTAAAACTTCAGAAGTTATTAAAATATTATCTCTACCTTCTTTATCCAGTTCTGGGTCTTTAACCTCCACATCAGGACCAGGTTCTAATTTCTCATTATTGCTACATTCCAGGGCTTCTAGTTTCTCAGGATCATCTCCATGATCTTCATTAGAGGCTTCTGGTTTCTCTTTTGACTGGTCCTCCAGAAGAATCTTCTGTTCAGGGCTACATTTATCACCGTTGCTACAGAGAGGAACTACTTCTGCTTTGCCGTTCTGGCACTCCAGAGCTGGGACTCCTTCGAAACTGTCGGTGGAGGCCTCGCCATTGAGACAGTTCCCTTTGAGGAAAGGCTCTTTCCCAGAAGTCTGCCCCGGGTTTACAGAACTGCTGCTGTGGACGAGGAGAGACTCGTTGGAACTTTCCTCTTCGGTGGATGCAAAGTTCTCTTTTGTGCCCGCTCCACTGTTAAGCCTCTGCCCCTGGTCCATGTCCATGACGTCACATGATGACTCATCATTAGTCATAGACAAGTCTCCAGCCTCCTCTCCGTTTTCTTCATGGCAGTCAGTGCTTAGCTCAAATTCTCCGTTCTCTAGCAATTTCCTGCCCCCCGTATGATTCTCATAGTCTGCAAATTTGGTGTCCTCGTCATCTTTTTTTAAATTATTGACTTTCCTTTTTTTAATAATTCCTTTACCCCACTGTGATCGCCGCCTCGATTTTCTCCGAACTCGAACTATTTTACAAGGAAGGAAAAATATATTTGTAGAACTTGGAATGCAATACTTGTTTTACAAATGCATATTAACTAAGACCCAAAAGAAAATAAACCCATACCAGTGTGACTCACAAGCAAAAACTACCTGAAACTCTCGCTGACTAATCCTCAGAACTACAAGTAGAATGGATATGAACTCTGAGAAATAAAAATCTGTTAAACTTATTTCTTATTTACCACCCAGCATTAATTTTTTTTCTATTACTCTGATTCCACTTAATAGCCGTTCCTAATTCCTAACATCCTGGAGGCCAGAATATGATATACACATTTAGGAACAAACCACACTCCCAGTCTGCCTGGAAGATTTGGGCGCCAGTTTTAGATTTCCACCAGGAAGGTGCGTGCTTTGCCATGAAAAGAAATAAAGCATGATCCAGTATGTCAAGACAGAATCGTTATAGGTATCTCCAAAAAACCCTCTCCACTGCCTCTACTTCAAAAGACAGAAAGAAAAAACAAAAAAACAAAAAAAAAAACCAACCCACAGTTAATACGGTCATGGAGGGAAGCCCCATGAAGGTTATATGATCAATCCAGATTGCCAACTATTAGCCTCTTCTACCACAAACGGTTCTCCTAGCAGCACCAATTTCTTGCAAAGTTATCTGAAAATATGTAGAAAAATTAAGCCTTCTGCTATCAAGGTGGCAACAACACCACTAACAAAACACTGAAAATAAATGTTTGGTCAGTTATGTGAAGAGAAAGACCTACCAAAGTTGTAGGGGCTATACTTAGATGCTAGAAACTATCATGTGCTTTCTGAGTAGACAGCTGGTACTTCCAAGTAATGATGGACCCAGGAATCTTTCATTTCCCATATATGCAAGTCTATCCCACTGTCCCTTAAATAAGCAAAAAGTTAACTCTTATTTTGCAATTTGGGACAGATGCATTAAAAAATTAAATATAAATGTTATTAAATATAAACTAGTTAAACTGGACACCATACCTTCTGGTGTCTAACACCAAATTCTAAATATTAGTTGGTTGAAAGCCATCAGGGTAAAAATAACCCCCCCCCCCCCCCCCCCCCCCCCGGATATAAAAAGTTCCCTACCCCTGCTCTAAACTGTTAGGTCTTTATTATCTAACAAGTTACTCCTGACAATGTGGCCTCACTTATCCTCCAACCATGTAACCAAAAATACTAACGTTTCCCCTCTTCTTTCCTCATTAAGCCATGGAACTCCAGACCAAGAAGCTGACCTCTGCTCAATCAAGAGCCAGCCCAATTACCTGAAATGTATGAGGTACACCGAGCAAAGGCCAGAAGCCCTATGGAAGGAAGTTCACTGCTAGCGCTTTCATCTCAGCAAAGAACAGAGAAAAGGTTCTCATTTGGGGAGAGGTCAAACTAGAGAAAATTTCCCCTTCCTTATATAATTACTTCTAACAGTTAACATGGCTTTAGTAAAATAAGAGAAATATAAGCTCTACAAGAATAGTGATTTTTGTTTTAGTCACTGCTAATCTCCACTGCCCCTGGCATGTGGTAGGCGTTTACATTTATACTACTTCCTTTTGCAGGATGTTTTGTGTGAAAAGCGCATTTAGAGGCACAATCTTTAAAGTCAATTTTTATAGCATCTCTGAGCTTGTTTCCAAAACTAAGACCTTAGGAAAGCAACTCTGCCTTGGACATTTAGATTTATGACTTAGGTAAGTAAATGTAAAACAGACAAATGGTGAGTCACATATGCCATCTACTGGTGAAAGAAAACAAAACTCGATTGCAGCTTAAAGCAGCAGTCGCCAACCAGTGGGTGGTCTGCGGACCACTGGTGGTCCAGGAGGTAAAAAAGGTTGGCAACCACTGGCTTAAAGTAACATTTTAATATCCAAAGGAACTTAAAACTGTTTCAGTTAATAAATATTTGTATTAGGTGCAGAGAATGTAAAGGACTTTAAGTTTTAAATTGGAGTGTTGTGTTACATAATTCAGGTATAACTAGGCCAAATAACTTCAATCATATTCATGAAACTAAATGCACCACTAAGTCCTTCAAATTTTCTCATATATGAAAGCCTTATCTCAGAGAGGACAAGCTGAAAGATAGGTATGGCCCATTCATTCAAATGCAATGCCACTCGTGAAAGAACATATTATGGCCAGCTTTACTGACAGATGGAGCAGTAATAATATTACACCTTTACACCAGAAGAACAGCACAGGTCGTCCACGGATGGCTAGCTTCAGGACTGTATTAGAAATATGTAACATCAGGACTGTATTAGAAATATGCTATGTTGATTAACATATCATTTAGAATTTTCTTTTTATCACCATGAATAAGAAAAAATGAAAACCTAAACACTGACTATTCCATCTCTAAAAATATATCACGAGCAAAACTAGATAAATAAGGTTGTACTGCCAAAACCGGTTTGGCTCAGTGGATAGAGCATCAGCCTGCAGACCAAAAGGTGCCAGATTCGATTCCGGTCAAGGGCACGTACCTTGGTTGTGGGCACATTCCTGGTGGAGGGTGTGCAGGAGGCAGCTGATCAAATGTTTCTCTTATCAATGTTTCTAGCTCTCTATCTCTCTCCCTTCTTCTCTGTGAAAAAAATCAATAAAAATATATATATTGAAGAAAAAAAAAAGGTTGTGCCAATTTTTCAAACTGAGCACAAACTTCCCGCTGTCAAATCAGCCACTCTCTTCAGCCAGTTTCCATTTTCCACCATAAAGACAACCTGCATAGTATACAGCAAGGGGCTGGGGTTGCAGATAGATGTATAGAAAATCTACTGGCTCCACATTTCTATCCAAATACCAAAGTTTAGAACTAAAAATATTCAAACCTAGTCCAATTACAACAGTAAGTACTGAATGGGGACAGCAAAAAGCAAACAAGGCTAAAGAAATACACTTCTGATTTAGCCTCTTACCCCACAAGCTCTTCACCTCTGAAAAGAGAGACGATTAAGAGCCGTGGGAAAACAGCAGCGCTCTGCTTTGTGTACCCAGTGCCTAAGAAACCCGAATCATTCTCAGTTGTTCCCACTACTGGATAACATGATCTCAAATACACGCACATTTATTTGCAGAGTTGTGCCAGGCATCCATTGGATTTCTTTGTTTGTGCCGAAATGCCTCTTCAACTCTAGTTTCTGTCTTCCGAGTTCCAGTACCATGAGGATTTATTTGTTCTGCTGTTACCGATAAGCCTGCAAGCAGAAGATAAGCAACACCTATTTAAATATTCCTAGCTACATAAACCAACAGGGTTTAAAAAAAAAAAATCATCTGAAATACAGAACCGAGTTTTAAAGTCATTAATTATACTTGGACAGTTTGTAATTTGGATGAAAATACTATCTTTTGTTTTAAGATGGGAAGGAAACTCAATATAAAATCATAAAAATAAAATAACTTGGCAGGGGATTCTTACTCTTAAAAAGCGACACATTTCACATTTTTATGACCTTGGGGCAATAAGATTATATAATGTCTAAAAGTTATGATTTCTGCCATCTTAGAATGTGTGTTTTGGGGCCAGTAAACCCCATTTACATGAACTGTTACCATTTGACATTAGCTGCCTATCACACTGCAGTGATCTTCATAAGAGTAACCATTCCATCTCAATTTTCACTGGATTTCTTTGTTCTATATGATCCTTAAATGTTGATGTTTGCCAGGGTTGTCTCTGAAATTCTCACTCTAATCAACACCTTCCACCACAACACCTTCCACCTTCAGCTTCTACTACCATTATATAACTAGAGGCCCGATGCACAAAATTCATGCACAGGTAGGGTCCCTGGGGCTTTCCTTCCCCAGCTGCCAGCTGGGGCCACCCTTCCCTGGCTGGTCCTTCCTTCATTCCACGACTCCCCCTAGTGGTCAGCGTACATCATAGCAAGTGATTGAACTCACGGTCTCCCAGTTGAACTTCCAAGGGTACATTTTGCACATTAGCCTTTTATATGTATAGATTCCCAAATCCACATCTTTAGCCCAAACATCTCTCGAGCTTTTTTAATTCGTATATCCAACTGCCTATTTGATATCTCCAACTGGATATTCTAAAGTCATGTCAAATATCTTTCCCAACAAAAACACCTGTTCCTTCCTATATCTCTTTTGGTGGTATTAGCACGTTCTAAGTCATTAAACCAGCAACATGGCCAATTTTGACTCTTCCTGCCCTTCACCCCAGCAGCCAATCTCTCATATTAATACTATCCTCATCTCCATTTCACTAAGTAAAACTCTGAACTACTCCTAAAGCTTTTATCCACAACAGATTTAAGGTTCAATTTATATAACATAAAAACCACTCATTTTAAGCATACAATTAAATGATTTTTAGTAATATACAGCACTATTGTGGTAAATATACACACCATTTTGCAATCACTACAGCAACCCAATTTTAGCTAACTATCCCAGAAAACCACTAATCCACATTTTGTCTCTATGGCTTGCTTTTTTTTGAGCATTTCATTTAAATGGAATCATACAATATGTGGTCTTTTCTGGCTGGACTGTTTCACTTAACGAATGTTTCTGTAGTTCACCTATGTTGTAGCACATATCAGCACTTTGTTCCTTTTTATGGCTGAGCAGAATGCCATTGTATGACACACCCTATTTTGCTTACCCATTCACCAACTGGCAGACATTTGGGTTGTTTCCAATTTTAGTTGCTATGAATAATGCTGCTATGAACATTCGTGTATAAGTATTTATGTGGACATATGTTTTCATTGCTCTAGAGTAGATCCTAAGAGAATCACTGGGTCATATGGTAAATGTTATGTTTAACTTTTTAGAACTGCCAAACTGTTTTCTAAACTGGCTCCAACAGTTTCTTAACTGGTCTCTCATCTCCCTACCCTCCACACTGAGCCCTTGCTATTTCCTGCTGCCAAAGCAATTTACCAATTCGTTCCGCTGCTTAAAATACTTCAATGACTACTACTGACTAAGGCAATGGTTCTCAAACGTTAGTGTATAAAGAAATCTCTTGAATAGTTGTTCAAGTGCTGAGCTATCAACCTTACTACTCCCTGAGAATTTAATTTACTAGGACCAAGCCAATGTAGGTAACAGACACACCATTTTGAAAAACACTGGTCTATAGGATAAAGTCCAAGCTCCTCAGCATGGCATGGATTCATTCAAGTATTTATAAGCTGCTGCATATCAGACACAGCTCTGGGGACTGCAGGACAGCTATAAGCATGACATTCCCAGCACTAAATAAGGAAGGGAGAGACAACAACAACAAAATGCCAAGTGCTAATGATGACCACGGCCTAATGAGATGAGGAGGCCAGGAAATGCCTCTAAGGAAGTAGAAGAAAAGCTGCTTCATTATTTCAGTGCCCTGGACACAGCCCACCTCTTGAGCTCTAATTCTCACAACTCTGTACATCTTCAGTAATACCAAACAGTTTGCAGTTCTTCTAATATACCACATGATTTCACATCTCTGTACCTTCATACAAGCTACTGTTTGCTGTGCTTAAAAATATCTCCTCCTCCTCTGTCACTGCCATCTTTCCCTACTCCACTGGAGAACACTCCTATTTCCTCCCCCAAACTCTGAGCAAAATGCCTGGTCCCCTACCCAGAGGTCTCGGCCCTGTGTGGTGAACACACTTCAACAAAAAGTGCATACACCACAATGCACTTCATTTGTTTTACATTTCACTCTTTCTCCGACTGAAGTATGAGTTCCTCAAAGACAGGATTTTTTTAGTGAATGAACAAACCACATTCGCTAATTCTTGTTTATATTGTTTATATTAACAAAATTGTCCATAAATTTCAATAGGACAAAAAGTACCAGTATTGGGTATAAACTCATAAAAAATAAACCTTCTTCAGGTATGAAAACCATTAAGAACAAAAATTAATAATTAACAAAGATAAATTCCTGCAAAAGAAATTTCAATACAAAGCACTTTATTTCAGCAATTTGTGCTGTTGCGCTAACACTTTCACAGGAAGTTTTTAAATATCTGAGAATTTGCATGACACATATGAGTATCAGAAATTAAGTAAAAACTGTGCCTCAAAATACATTTTTCCCCCCACAATATCAGGAAGCTTAAAGAAACAACATTCAGTAATAGTCAATGACTCATCTTTAGCACAAAGTTCATTTTTATAGCTTACCTCTTTTTATTCTTGCTTCCTTAATTTCTTCACAGAGTTTATTAAATTCTGGATCCAGTTCAGCTGCAATGATGGCATGTGCAGTGTCCTTCAGGGTACAAGCCCTGTGTCTAATTATTTTATCTGTTGAAACGGTTGATATACATTTATTACATGTACAAATGAAAGAACATTAAATAAGGACATTTTAAAAAGAGAAGAAATACGAACATTTAAATAACAGTGTAAAAAGCATTTCCAGGTGATAAGTTTACTTAAATAATGAACTTATTTAAATTAAATTAAATAAAAACATAATAAGCTACTCAATCAAATTGACAATTCTCTGAAAACTATACTTTTAGAATTTCAAAGTACTAAGTCTGTTTAACAACTCATTGCCTCAAAGATAAAAGGCTTCATTTTACATACAGTATTTGACTTTTAAATGTATGATTTTCAGTAAACATTTTTAAAGGATTTAGGGTATTCACCATATGCCCAGCTCCAGCACTCCCTTATCAGGAGTGGGGAACATCTGACCTGCAGGCCATGTAAGACCTGCAAAATCACTTGGTCTGGCCCTGCTGAGGCATTTGGGTAAGTTAGTCAAATGTTTGAGCAAAAATAGCAGGCTAATTTTTTAACTGATCATTTTGTATGGCCCAAGAATGTTGTTGTAAATAGCCAAATGGCCTTTGGCAGAAAAATCATTTCCCACCCCTGCTATAGATGGATACTGAAAATTCAGATATTCTTACATAATTTTCTTCATAAGTGAAAACTGGTCAAAACTGTGCTGGAGAATATAACAACCCTAAGTAAGGGTGACCTTTAAAAACTGTGACAGAAATAGACAAATACAGCAAGACACTCTAAGCTGAAGAATGTAAGATGGTATAAAAATTGTAGGTGGATCTAGGAGAGAAGTACATACTACCTTGTAGGTAAGCTATACCTAAAACTAAAAGAAGGTCCTCAGTTTTACACTAATCTGGAAATCCTCATTCATAAGCAAAACAATGTGAACAGTGCCACCTGGAGCTTGTAGCTCTGTGATATACAATAAAAAGCCAATTAAGTATAGCAAAGACACTTACCTTGTAACAGTATCAAAACCTAGAACCCAAAATCTCAAAATAACTTCTCTATTATTATATTTTGAGAAGACTACAAGATTAGAGCTAAAATTCCAGCAAAATTAGCTAAATAATGATATGTGCTTAAGGGTTAGAGAAGGGATGCCATAAAAACAAAGAATGAAAAATAGTTAAACATCATATATCACGTCTACTAGTATAACATTAACTAGAGGCCTGGTGTACAAAATTTGTACACTAGGGAGGGGGGTATCCCTCAGCCCAGCCTGCATCCCCTCCAATCTGGGACCCCTCGGGAGATGTCCCACTCACAATCAGTGACTGCTGGTTCCCAACTGCTCACCCTGCCTGCCAGCCTGATTACCTTCTAATCATTCCCCTGCCAGCCCCATTGTCCCCAACTGCCCTCCCCTTCTGGCCCAGTATCGCCCAACTGCCCTCCCTTATAGGCCTGGTCACCCCCAACTGCCCTCCCCTGCCGGCTCGGTCACTCCTAATTGCCCTCCCCTGCTAGCCTGATCACTCAAAACTACCCTCCCCTGTCTGCCATCTTGTAGCAGCCATCTTTGACCATGGAGGTGGCCATCTTGGTGCAAGGGTCTGAGGGTCAATTACATATTATCCCTTCATTACATAGGATAATTATGGCCTAATATTTCATTTGTAGGTTCTGGTCACACTTAGAACCTAGGAATTAAAATTCTCTGGCCAACACATTTCATTTCTGTCCACATCATCCTCAAGGGAGAGAATCTGGGTGAACACTTAGGTAACATAGATAGCTTTCAAAGGGTTGGCTTTTGTCTTCTATGTATATGCTTGTTGTTTTCCCAAATGGCTAACTATTCAGCAAAACAGAACACCGTAAGATTTCAAATACTCTTGGGAGCTTGTAAAAGTAATACAACATTCATGTAAATTCCACTTGCTATACAACAGACCCTGAGGTTGTTTTTCTAATACATAACAAGTGGTTCTATTGCTATGGAAAAAAAAAAAAAAAAAGCCTCTTGACTATAGATATGAAATAATCTGAACAGAACCAAATCATGCTTTTTGAATTTTTGCACCTAAAATAGTGAAGGAGTAAAGTTACAAGTGTACCATATCAACTCTGAGAGAGCCATATTTTTTTCATTATACATCTGCATTCTGTAGTAAAAGGTTGTTATGCACCAGAAACCATTGCTTCTTTCTTAAAAAGAATATTATTTCAATGTGGTTATAATTAAGTTACACAAGGGAAAATATTTGGATTGATCTTCTCAACTGGCTTTCTGTAACCACTCAAATTCATTTTTCACTATCAGTCCCAAATTTTTGTTCCAAAATAAAAATGAATTTTAAATGTGGTTCAAGGAATGGAATGAGAATAAAGTATAAAGGGTAACTCTAATGCAAATATGCAATATCCACTAAGAAAACAATTTATAAAAATTGAAGTCCAATTTAAACAACAATGATGCTAATGAGGATAAAAATATGAACCAACTTTATGGAACACTTACCACATCCCAGGCACTATGCTAAGGGCTTAGCATATTTAGGTTGAACCATATAAAAATGGTGATTTCATAAAGTACTATAATTATCCCTATTTTGCAGATAAGAAACAATTTCTTAACTTGATCAAGTTAAAGAGCTAGGCAACAGATCTGGGATCAAAGCCTAAAGCACAAGCTCTCATTACCTGCTACACAGTTTCAGCAACCCCTGTGTCTTCAAAAACTGACAGGCTAAGGGTGTAGGCACTCCCGTGCTCTCACGTAATGCTCAAGGCAACCCACCGTACAGCAATTGTGAAGGCTGTACCCTCACCAAGGACCCAGCAAGGGAATCAAGTGAGGCCGACATCAGCCCATTCTTCACTACCCAGACTGCAGCCTGTTGCAGATGCCATCTACACTAAAGAAAATTGCTATTTTGGTTAATAGTTGCCGTGATATTGCTTGTAGAAGTGAGAAATTATTATGAGAAAAAATTTAAGATTCCAGATTAAATGACCTACAAAAGATACATCTTTTGATTTTAAAATTTCACTTTAAGAAATTTATTCTAAGAAAAAAATTAGGGATGTGTACAAAATTATAATATAAAGATATCTATCAATCTTGTAATGACAGGAAAAATCTAAAAGAATCTAGTATTTCCAACAATAGGGTATTAGCTATTATAGCAGGTCTGTATGATTTAAATAATGCAGTAAAAATATATAAAATTCATAAACTTTTCACCAAATATTATATGAATGACTAAGTTTGTAAAAATTATATTTTCATTTTAGTAAAAATATGCATGCATGCATGCATTCCATATATAATGAGTGTGAAAAAGAGAGTGAGGGCGAGGGAGGCAGGGAAGGGGAGAGATAACTTTAATTTTCTTGCTTTTATCTTCATAAATTTTTATGTGATATATTTAATTGAAAGTAAAAAAGAAACTAAACAATAGAAAGCTTAAGAACGATTAGATACCAGGTGCAGCTATGTAAAATTTTATTCTGCCTCTTAGAATATGTGCTTAATTATGGTCTAAATTTTGCCCCCCCCCAAAAAAAAACAAAACAAAACAATGTCATGTGGAAATGAGAAATCCAGGTCATTCTAACATGTGACCCGAGTTGAGAACCATTGCCCTGAAGTACATACAGAGAGCAAAACTGTGTAAAGATATCTAAATATCTTTAGATAACTGAAACAAAGATGAATTTTTAAAAAATAGAAAGCATCTTACACGTATATCATCTGTTAAAGAAACAGAATTCTCACTAGAGTGAAAAAGAATATTGGCCCTTGTCAGCTGGGAGCTGGGAGCTGGCCTGGCTAACAGCTAGTCCTTGGTCTACTCAGTCAAACATAAACAACTGTAACCAATATCAGGAAAGGCTGCTCCAAGACCACTATGGACACCCCATAATGAGGTCTAAACAAAGAGGCCACCCTTTAGTTTGCAGATTTATATATAATGTAGAGTTCTTAAACACATACAAGATAATATCCATATTCTACACTTGCTTATTTCTGTTTGATTAATAAGGAAATATAGTCAACAAACTGCTAATATTATTTATTTCTAATGGAGAAATTTTATAGGTTTGGTAAAAAGATTTTAATTTTTTCTAAAAACCATCTCTTAACTCTAGCTCTTTACTCAAAAGCAAGTAGTATTTTGGCAGTGTAAAGTATGGTATCTTAAGCCCTCAAAAATAAAAATTTAAAAAAATAAACTAAACCCTGTTCCCTGAAGAACCTATCTATGTTAGTGTGAACACAGAGGCACATAGTGCTATATTCTAGATCAGGAAATGGACTTGGTTTTACCTGTCCATGTGGGTGATGTTCTGTGTTTTAGGCCAGACAATCTTTGGTAGATTTTATATAGCCCATCGTTTTCAGTAATTCTTGGTACCTTATAGTTTGGATACAACATAATTCATGCTTATTTTTGTCCTAATCACACTTTTTTGTAATTAGGACAAAAGCATATTGCTCTAATCACAAAAATAACCCAAAAAAAATCAAATCCTGAATAGTATGACTGACTGCTGCTTCTTTACCTATCACAGCGTTAGCCTTGCTCCATTCTTCTTGCCTACAGGTTCTTAAAATATTGAATCACAAAATTACCCCCACTTCCTAGAAGCGTTCAATCCACCGCAAAGTCCTTTCATTCCTCCCCTACGTCACTAACCAAGTGGCAAATCCTACAAGGTTCACCATGACATAATTTCCCTTTGACATTCATCTTGTATAACTAAGATATGTTCCTGGCAGTCTTCCGTGAAGGGCACTGAGAGAGTTGGGACTGACTACTGACTTGAGTATAGGGTTGAATTTGGAGTAAATAAAATTACATAAAAATATCTACAATCTACAGAACAGATAATGTCTACCTAAAGAAGTCTTTTGATAGAATATGTAAACATATCGTATAATGAGTTCCCACAAATTCAAAATTCTCAGTGTTTATCAGCCCTTGTGATGTTGACTAAATAATACATTTTTAATGAAATTCTCAGTTTTCCATTTTATCTAAACAAAATAGAAATCTAAGTATAGAAAATGAAAGGTAAATGATGAAACTAAACCCTTAACATAATACATAGGATAATAAAATCATCTAAATTAGTAAGTACATTTAATTCAATAAGTTAATAATTTAAGTATATTAATTCCTTACCAAAAGGAACTAAATACAATAATGACATCAAAATGAACTAATCTGTTTGAAACATTAGTATTTAAACTTTAAACTACCTTCTCTATCACCAAAGTGAATCCAGCCCACTGTCCTTACCTCCTGGGTCCTTATCTGGATTGTATTCTAAAGCATTACTACAGATGAGGTCAATATCTTTCAGGAAATCTTTTGAAGTCAGGTAATTATGCTTATCAATTTTAGTTATTATTGTTGATAAATCCATTGGTTCCTTGATTACTTCAAGATAATCTGAAACCTAAAACAAATAGAATATTTTAATAAAGATTACTTATAGTATGTCATATATCTACTCATAAAAACACAAAAGAAAATCAAGTAATTATTTAAAAATTAAATCTACATATCTAAGAAATAATTAGATAAGGATAAAAGTATAGAGCACTTTATGTTTCTAAAGTTACTATGTCATACTTTCCATGAAAGCTTCAGTTTCAAGTCATATCTAAATCAACTCTGAAATGTTCTCATCTTGAACTATGAAACCAATTGTGTCAGCTTTTTTTTAATCCTTTGGCCATTCCTGAGAAGAGAATGTACAAGTAAAAGCACTGATAAAGCATTGGTAAATGTTACCTCAAGAAAAAATTTTTAAAGGAAAATAAAAAGAAATAATTTGTTGTTTTTTAAACAAAACAAAAAAATTCTTTCTGAAGGGTGAATCGTTTCATGGAAAGTGTTTTCTGCTCCTTTGGAGTCATTACAAACACTTTGACTTAATTATATAACAACAACAAAAAAGCAATGTTTTCATGACTAGTAAAAGATTTGCTGAACTTGTCTCTAAATATAAATAAATCTACAAGTAAAAACACACATCTTGCTCTATGTACCCAATAAATTATATGTTTTATATCTCTTGACCAATAAGAAAGTTCTACCAACTTACAAATCTATTGCCTTCCCCAATCTCAAATCAAGTAATTAGGTCTATTACAAAAGCAGTCTTGCAAATGGCTAATTAGTCCAGGATCACATTCTGGAACAAAGTGATTTCTGCTCTCAGAAACTATAAGCAAGTTTCCTCCATTGCAGATGTCATTGATGCCTTGATTTAAAAAAAACATATATATGCACATATATATGCATATATACCCATATATATACACATACACATGATTTATAAATATTTTTTAAATTTTAGGGAGGTGTATGTGCATGTTTTAATTTATTTTTCACCCTCAATGAGGTAAATGCCTTCTAGGGGAGGTAGTAAAGCTATACTGAACAAGCAATAGGTTCAGAAGATATTAATTGGGTTCCTGGCATTGGCACTTGGCATACCTTTCTTTTGTGCATGACAGACATGTTTTGTAAACTATAAAGCACTATACAAATTCATATTACTACCTATGCTTATATTTTTTCCTATGCTTAATTTTAAATTCAACAATCATTTTCTAAACTCTTGTGTTTTCTACCGTTTGCTTTGAAAGTTTTAGATATCTCACATTTCTATTCATTATTTGAATAGAAATTTGTTTTTATGTCTAAAAGCTATCTTGGTTCTCCTCTCTATTCTTCCAAGAGATCCCTACATTTTCAGCTTTAAAAGCAGACAAAGAACCAGTAGTAGAATGAAAGTGAGAAGAAAGAACATAAAAGAAAATATAGCATTTAAATAAAAGTTTCATCTGACTAGCATTTGCTATCCCCTTTTCATTGCCAAACCATCATTTATAAACTTTATTCTAGCATAGATAACATTTGAAATCTGATAATCTCTTCTGGTTAGGAACAGAAAGTTTTCCCTGGCAAAGGCAAAATTGTTTACTTCTAGCATGGTAAGCTAACGTGGGGCAATCCCTTATCAATTGTCAGGGGGGAAAATTAAGCGTCAGAGTCCCATATCCAATTTGAAATAAAAATACTTAAAACAACATTAAAGTGGACTGATAGATTTAAAATTATCTGAAAACACTAGAAGGAAAAAAAAAACAAAAACTGCTCCACAAATATAAAAAGGTATGCATTAATTACAAAAGCAAGTGTGGCAAGTCCTGTCATTCCAGTGGGAAAAGATTAAAATGGTAGTTGTAAGGTTATGTGAAGAATGTGGGCTTTGAAGTTTTTTAAAACTTTGAGTCTTGCCTAGTATCACTTGCCAAAGTGCCACAGTTTCCTCATTTGCAATGTAAGAACCTTTGCAAGGCTGCTGAAAGGATTAAATGGATAAAACTATGTATTGTAGATAAATTCTATACTGTATAATAAAAGGCTAATATGCAAATAGACCAAATGGCAGAATGACCAGTCGCTATGACAAGCACTGACCACCAGGGGGCAGACACTCAATGCAGGAGCTGCACCCTGGTGGTCAGTGTGCTCCCACAGGGGGACGCTACTTAGCCAGAAGCTGGGCTCACAGCTGGCGAGCGCAACGGCAGTGCCAAGGATGTCCGACTGGTGGCTTAGGTCCGCTCCTCCTGGGAAAGAGGGCCTAATCCACCAGTCAGACATCCCCTGCGGGTTCCTCAAACTGCAAAAGAGCACAAGCCGGGCTGAGGAACCCTCCCCTCTACCCCAGTGCACGAATTTCATGCACCAGGCCTTTAGTATGTAAATAAAATTATAGATAGTCCTTTTATTTGGGGGGTAAAAAAAAAAAAGAATAGGTATTTTCAGAGTTGCCAGGAATGGAGGGGGTGCAAACATAGTTCATTTTCACAGTTATAGATGAGGTAATGCTTCCAAATAAATCTGATCAGATTTCATAATGAATATGCAACATTAAACTTTGAATCATTTCATAATTCAAATTTTTAAAAGAGATGAAAAAATTAAAACACCAAAACTGTTCAAACATGGAGTCTGAACTATAAGAAGGAGGCCAGTAAAGATCATATTGTGTTGAACCATACACTATATTATCCCAGGATAAAAAAAATAAAAATTAAAAAAATATTAATCTAAGTATTTTAGTTGATTCCAAATGGAAAATTTCTTTTCTCATCATCACAAACCATGCTCCCACAAGGACACAAAACAATGCACATAGAAAGTGAGAAATTTTCCATCAGGAGCAGAAAAAATCCTTAGAAAAATAATTTTAGATGCACAGGATATGCTTAACTTCAAGTAGCATGTTAGTCAGGAATTTCTAAAACATTAAAGACACATTTCAGGTTTCTCAGCTACATCTTTCAATAAAGTATACATAATTTGAGAAATGCCTATATCAACTGGTATTATTTGGTTAATATCAATTATGCTTGTAGAATTTATCCTGGAATAAAAATAGTCTAGTATGGACATTTCACTGAAGTAACTTTCAATCCTCTTCTTAAATTGAAAAATAAGAGATCACAAATATCAATGCTAATTAAGAGGACATATACAAATTGGACAAAAGTCACCAAATATTTGCTGATGACATTGGTAGTTATCACATGGATTAAAAATTTACAGGCTACGGGTAATTTATTCATCCATGCCTTTGCTTTTTTTCCTTCCAAAAAAAGATGTCAATTTTTTTTTTTTTCTTTTAGCCAGTTCAACTTCACTGTTTGCACACTACTGAAACAAGACCTCTTCAATATCCACCGGTTTGCTGAAGATGTTAAAGCGTTTATCTGTGGCCAGCCTCTTGGTTACATCCCTGAGAAACAACCGCAACTCTCTTAAAGTATTTTCCTCCTGGTCCTCCATCCGAATTTTTTCTGATTCTGATAATTGACGAGGTGGAGAAGGTAGTGCAAGAGGAAGCACTTCCATAGCACAAAGACCTAAAGAAAATTAAAGAAAATGTTGATTCCTACATGGCAAGGCCAGGACCTCAATTACTTTCTTGGCATTCTCTCACAATGTTCTTTTAAGAAAAGGAGAATTCCAAACATAGGTGAGCCACACAAATCCAACATGTAAAAATCTGAATGGAAACCAGATATGTTAAGGAATAGTTTTACTTTACAAAATAAATCACAACAGGACTCCTTTAAAGGACAAATGATATGGTTTTAAAGAATTTGATTTTGAAACATTATTTATACACAACTTACTAAAGATATTTCAAACCAACATCAGTTAAGTATTCTATACTGATTTGCTTATTTAAAACCTGCTTATCAAAATGGGGTTGTCTTATATGCATGAAAGTCAAATGAGCAAGTAACAATTAATCGATCCTTCTTGTTCCCAAAGAATTCTGAGTTTAGTCTTCTATCTTCATATTCTTAGTATAACATAGTACGGATATAAATGGCACTTGCTGGGAGCAAAATAAAAATAGAAACTGAACTGAGAATTCTCAGAAGGAAAGAGGGAGGGAAGAGATTAAACAAAGATCTTATTGTATGTTTATGTGCATTACCTATGGAAAAAAACAATAGGGTGGTAAAGGCCTGAGGCAGGGTGGGAATCAGGTTGGGGGGGAAGGGTATGGTATGGTGGGAAAATGAGGGACATCTATAATAATCTCAACAATAAAGGCTTTTTAAAAAAACAAGGGAAAACAGGCTTAGATTTTTTTTTTTTTTAACTAATAGGATTATTATTTTCCAAGAGAGTGAGATTGAGTAAGGATTCTTATCTTTTACGCATCTATATATATATATATATATATATATATATATATATATATATATATAGTTGATTTTTTTACAGAGAGGAATGGAGAGAGATAGTTAGAAACATCGATGAGAGAGAAACATCGATCAGCTGCCTCCTGCATAACCCACACTGGGGATGTGCCCACAACCAAGGTACATGCTCTTGACCAGAATAGAACCCCTCAGTTCGCTGGCCCATGCTCTTATCCACTGAGCCAAACCGGTTTCGGCATCTTTTACACATCTTTAAGATTAGGAAAAGAAACTCATTTGAAATACTTGGGATGCAGTCCTTATTTAAATCAGGGGACTGAAATTTGAAAAATTTTGAGGCCTCCCTTAATGCTATGAGCCCAAATCTAAGAAAACTCTAATCCTCAAAACAAAGCCATGATAGATTTCCAAGTGCCTAGGTAGAATAAGATATCTATAATAATCAAAGCATAATATGCTGTTTAGACCGATGTCCTTCCAGACGAGGCCAAAGCTGCAAGGGAAGCCCAGTCCTGGATGCCTGCTGGTGGCCAGAGGGAAACCCGGGTCCCAGATGCCAGAGGGAAGCCGGTGCCTGCAGCTGGGGGAAGGCAGGCCTACTCTTGCACAACTTTTGTGCTTCAGGCCTCTAGTCTAATAGGTGCTCAATAAATATTTGAAAATTTAATCAATAAATAAAATAAACCAGAAAAGGCAAATGTTCTCATCAGCTCCTGGCCCTCAAAGTAATCAGCACAACACCTGGTGTTTCACAAACAGACAATTTGAGTTCTCAGTACTTAAAGTGACTAAAACAGAAAAGAACCAAAGATTTCTTTTTCTTTGACTTTTTGAGCCTCAGAATGTGAAATCTACCAAGAGCATCTGGGTTGAAGTGATAAGGAGAATGCTTTAGTAGCCGTCATCTAATAGTAAAGCTTTAACAATGAGGCTGTACTTCCCAATCTCAAATCAGGTGAACACAATGTCACCTCTATATAAATCCACCTAAAGATAAAAAGAACCTGAAAACTATCTTCACTTCGACAAAGAAATGGATTTTAAAATGACTCCAAGAAAGGCATCTCTTAACCCACTCCCCACGCCCCTTTTCCTAAAAGCTTTAGGCACTTTACCAGCGTGTTTCCTTCGTGGTGGAGCTACTGATGCCTGATTAAGAATCAATTCTTGGAAAAATTTTCTTCTGTCTTCTTCAGTAGGCCTTTGAATATACAAGACCTCTTCATACTGTATTCTAAAGATATATTTAACCTATAAACAAACACAAAAAATATTAAATATGTAGAGAATCAAAACCTTACCTATTATATCCAATTACAATTTCCAGTACCATTGCAATCTTCATTTAAGATTCATGTGGGGTTAGAATTAACCTAGTCCCAGGCTATACTATTGAAAGTTCAACCTCATGGATTAAACAAGAATGGAAGAATGATTTAGTTGCCCAAGTCATTAATAAATCATAGCTGGAAGAGTCAGAGATAATAGTAAAAAGGATAGTTGAATGTAACAGTCAGATGGCAACAATCTCAGAGGGCTTTTTGCATAGGAGCTGCAAAGTAATTACCTAGCGCCTTCAACAGACAGCTGCCAAGTTGCCAACACTGCCTGCTCTTCCGCTATTTCTCTGCATTTCCTCTTCTCTGGCTTCCCTTTCTGGACTCTTTCCTAACCAAGTCTGTTCCACTGTACTGTCTAGAATCCTGGTATCACTGCACATGAACTATACCTCATCTTTTCACAGAATGCTCCACAATGACACCATCTTTCATGCAAAACTCACAAGCAAAATTAAGTCAGTTTCTTCCAGCTGGATTACCTAGGCCTCTCCTATGTTCGTCTGCTCTATTAAGGTTTTAACCCCAACTATCCCCCTTGCAAGGCATGCTTTTAAAATCCTCTTTATGTCATCCACATGTGACTGCTCACTTCATTTATATGTTTTTCTAGAAGGTCTATTTCTACTAGACACCAAACTCCCGAAGAACAGCCCATTTCTTAGTCGTCTGTTTTCTATACCTCACCACAGGGCCTGGCACACAGCAATGCACAAGCATGTACTCAGTGAGTAAAGCTCATTCTTCTGTTCCCCAGCCCACATCAAACTGGAAAGTGTAATTGAAAAGGGAACCAGTCACTAATATGAGAGTGTACCAACCATGATAATATGGAAATACTGGATTAAAATTCAAGACATCAGATTTTAGCCCAAACGTAGCCACATATTTGTGGTAAATGTTGGACAATCCACTCAATTTGTTACATCTAACCACTTGCTGAAGACTATGAACTTCATAAATATTATTTTAATCTATATAACAATGAGGTATGAAGGCATCCCATTTAAAAGATGAAACTTGGGCGTGTAAAGATTTAAGTAATTAGGTTAAGGTCCCAGCATGAATAAATAGAGAACATTAGATTACATAATCTATAAAGGACTTTCCTAGCTCTAAAATTCTAAGACAGGGAAGAAACAATCAATGAAAAGTAAACACTAGAATTCAAAATCTGAATGGGATTTATTTACCTCAACCCAAAGCCAAATTCTTTAAGAGTTTATAAAATTTCACCTTGTATCCTTCCAGTATTTCTTAGACTACCTTCCTGTGCAATTCCCTCCAACCCTTCGGTCTATGCTTTGCCGGCCCTTCTTCAGAAATTCTGGGGTGCATATTTACCACAGAATACCATTATGTGCCAGATACTGCAGTTATAAACTTGAAGAAAATAGGCTTACTTCCTGCTATCAAGATCTTAAAGAGTCTCCTAAGGAAGTATTCTGATACCATAAAGGTAGAGACATAGAGGAGACCCTGTAAGAGTGAAGAGGCATTAGACAAAACATAGCCAAAATAGCTAACATTAATTCTGTCTTGACAAAATAATACAGAATTAGAAGTACCAGAATTTTGTTCAAAGATAGCAAGACATTTATTTTCAGTTTTAAATATTCTCCCTTCTCAACATTTTTCAACACTGTTAAACTTTGCGAATATAAAACATACCAAAAGTAAATCTACAATAATCCTGTGGTATTCCTGCCAGGTTATTACAACCATCTCAGAATCCATCATCTTGTAAGTAGGCTAAATTACTTTTCTTTCAATTTACTCCTAACTTATTTTCTGGCATTCTCAGCCTCAAACATCATGCTGCAAGAAGACAAGTCTCGTATAATTCCCTGTAAAAATCATCTGTCTCTTACCGTGGTTCACACTGCAAATTACTCTTCCCTAAACCGGTTTTTAACTCTCCACTCAAGCTGGTGCTTTCTGGATGACACTTTCTCTGACTTTCACAGGGATACTTATGCATGCCTTCCAATCTCTCTCATTAATCCTTGTGCAAGCGCAACGATTTTAGTAAATTCAGTTATATGACCATCACAAGTCAGTTTAGAACATTTGCATCCCCTCCAAAACTCATGCCCATTTGCAATCGATCCCCCTCACATTTAGACTCCCAGACCGACAACTAGAGAACTGCTTTCTGTCTCTCGAGAGTTGCCTCTTCCACAAACTGTATATCAGCCACTAAGCAGTCTTTTGTGTCCAGCTTCTCCCACGTGGCATCATATACTGAGGTTCATCCACACTGTAGATTTTATCAGTAGTTTATTCATTTATTGCTGACTAGAACTTCATCACATGTATATATAATATTTTGTTTCATTAATCACTAATTCATAAATACTTGGGTATTAAAATAATTTTTTAAATCAATTTCATTCACATGAGTTGATATACTAATTTTTTTCTAAAACTGTGATTTTACCTTTGATTTTAATATATTAAATATAAATTGAATTTGAACTCAAAAGCTAAATATCAGATTTGAAAAATATACATCATCATCATAATATTCAACTTAGCATGATGCTGTCAATGAAAAAGCTGGAAGGTCAAATCCCACCAAATAATCTAACAGATGAGAAGGATAATTATAATGGAATTGATTACAATACAGCTAAAGTTTTTTGGAGGTGATATAAATACTGGTCTAAGCATGAATTATCTCAATCTTTCACTACAATAGTCTGGAATATATCACTACTATACCAAAAAAGAAACAAACTTAGATGTTAACTTGTTGAAGTCACAGAGCTAGTAAGCGGTATAACCTAGGCATGAATCATGACAGTTGATTTCATAGTAATTAGAGAGAGAAAGAAACACTGATGTGAGAGAACCTTAGTATATGCACCAATCAGAAATCAAACCTGACACTTTCTTGGTGCACAGGACAATGCTTCATCCCTGGGCCACACAAGCCAGGGTGAGGTGAACCATTTTAAAACAATATAATAACGATAAACATTCAAGCAGTTCTTACCTCTTCAGGAAGTTCACTGTACATGGTTTCAGAGGTAGACAACAGAAATATAGGTGAAAATGATGGTATATCTTGTAGCAAGGTCAGAAAAGTTGCTCTCACAGTTTCACTAACAGCTTCCCACCAATCACCAATGTGAGGCATGTAAACAATACTAGGTACTGTTCTCCGAGCTTCACGAAAAATCTAATTAAGGAAAAGAATGGAATTAAAAATTCAAACTGATATTGATCCCAAATATCTAAATTCTACCCAGTAAACCCCCAAATACAAAAACGCATCAGACCTGTTATAGTAATTCTTTTCAGCCCAAATATTTAAGCTGTACGAGGTCTGATGCACAAGCCATACGGCCTCTATCTACCCTTGCCCCACCTAAAGTATTTTTCGCCATTTTATTATTCCTATTCAGTAGATATTAATATAAAGGTGTCAAACTGTTCCACTTATCTATAAAATATGCTGCAAATGAAGAGATAATGATGTCAGAATGATATCAGTAAGTACAAAAAAAGGAAGACATAGTTTACATGTTTGTGCACATTGGCTAAAATCACTAAGCACGTGAAATAAACATTTTAAACAAAATGTACCGCCCTAGACTTAAAATTAATGTACTACTGCAGAACCACTTCTTCACCTCCTAATTTACCTTAATTCAATCTTCAATTCAAAATGGTCATAAAATACCCTGGCATCTCTAACGAGCAATGAATACTGTATATTAGCACAAAACTCTGATACACTCTGTCAGAAAATACAAGATAAAGTTTCCTTAGGTATTAAAAAGAGTCCTATTGTAGCTTCAGCCACCAAAAAACACCAATAAAGAACAGGTTGGCTATCAGTAAGCTGCCAAGCATAACTACAACCATTTACATATAAGTCAACAACAGCTTAAGAGCCCATCAATAAATTCTCACAGGTTAATATGACATCTCTTTAAGATTTTTAACAAGTAGAAACAAGTGTAAAAATCTTTCTTCAATTTAGAGAATTCTATTTCTAAAATTCTCTGTTTTTCCTTATTTTAAAACACACATTTCAATTAACCTATGTAATGTTCAAGATACAGAAATAAGAATTTAGTATTTAAAATGATTAGGATTAATAAAAATGTTTCTAAGAATCAAAAGGATTATTTTTCTTAATAAGGAAGCCTACCAGTTGCATAAATTTTTCAAATATTACATTTTGTACAGTTTTAAACCTCCTGTATAAAATAAAATATATTGCCAATTTAATAATAAACCAGATGAAAGATGCTCAAATAAAATGCTTCCCCCAAATTGGAAATGTAGATGTTATGATCACTCACATCAAAAGTAATATTTGCTCCTTCCCTTCCTTTAACATTTGCATATCCACCAATCCAGAACAGTTGTACAGTACAACTCCTCCAGGACTCAAATTTTGACCTTTTCTGCAAACACGCACCCTCTTATCCTGGATCTTGAAAATCCAAGGATTATTGTTTTCCAAAGTTCTTGTAGAGGATTCATAAGAGAAAAACAAGCATAAATATCGGCAAAATGAAGGAACCACACAGCAGCACAAAGGCAAGTGAGGCATTGGATTTAATAAAGAATAATTACATGCCACCCAAATTTGGCATGAAGTGTGAAGACAGTGACCGACATCTTTTGTCACTTTCCAACTCCCGCTCTGTGCTGGTAACTAGGGAGAGTCAACTGGGAGAGAAAGATGATTATATGGAAAAGACTAACAAGCTATATAGCTTACTGAGAAACTCACCAAACTAGCTACCTAATTCAATCATGCAAGTACCACGTGCGCAGGAAGATGAGAAAACAAAGCCTTTTTAAAAAATGAAATTTTGCCTTTCATTCTAGTACTTGTAGGTTAGGTTTTCTTGGAAGATGTGTTGAGCACACCTAACAGCTAACAAGTGTTCAAGAGTATGGGCAAAGAACTCCAGATTAAGGGATAATGAATGCTTTACAGAGCAAGGAGTTCAATAATGCTGTACTGTAATGTTTTAAACTTATTTGCAGCGCTAAACTAGATATATATAAGCATCACCAACACTAACAGAGTTGAGGGTTTTTCAAAAATTTTTCTCCTAAGACTTTAGAGGAGAAACATCTTTAATTTCTAGAAAAACTGAACATCACTACTAAAGGAAGTTTTCTTTTTAATTCTTTGCTCCGTGGTATCTCAGAGTATTAAAATAAACTTTCATATTTTCTTTAAATATATATTCAATCTGTCCTAATACTCCATTTTCATAATGAAAATTCAGAAAGGACGAACTCTGAGAATAGTATTTAAAATTTCAGAAAAAAAGTGAAATCCTATTGTGACTTTTCTATAATGTAAAAACAGCTCTTCAGCAATTTGCTGGTAAAGTTGTGGAATAAGATACATTCTGTGAAACCAATTAAACAGATAATTCCAAGTAGAAAAATAAAGCCTCGTTTTAGTGAAGCGGCAACTGCCTTGGGAATAAGTGATGCCATTTGATAACTAGAAAAATACTCACCTACAGGGTGTCTTGGATTGGTGGATGTGCAAGGTGTAGTAGAAAACAGAAAAACTGTTATAGAGAAAAAAAGACAGTAGGCCAAATTACTGAACCAACCGTTTCAAAACACCTCTGACATGACCAGCACTCTTGCACAAATAAAATGAACAAACATCAGTGTATGGGAACTGTTAATTTTGATTCTTTAAACAATCTTTAAACTTCTGTTCCTTCTGGCCTCTTCTTGCCCTCAGATAGCATGTTCCCTTATATAACATAGTTTTGTTTCTTTGTGTGTATGTTTTTTTATAAATCACTAACTATTTCCTCTGAATATTAAAGATATGAAAGGCAAAAATCAGGCCACTGAAGTTAGAAGTACCCATGTAAGGAAACACTACTATAATAATATAAACTGCATCTATAGTTCTTATCATCTCAAAAGCTAGACTTTCAAGTCAGTACTTTAGCTGCCAAAATAAAATGTTCAGGGCACAAAAATGTACTATATTTTAAAAATTAAGAATAGACATGGCTAAGTGGTTGCACATCGAACTATGAACTAGATTATCACAGGTCAGGATACATGCCCAGATTGTGGGCTCGATCCTGTGTGGGGAGTGCAGGAAGCAGCTGATCAATAATTCTCTCTCATCATAGATGTTTCTATCTCTCTCTTCCTCTCCCTTTCTCTCTGAAATAAAAATATAATACATAAAAAAAATATACAGCCCAGGCCATTTCCTTCAAAATGTGAAAACTAGAATAATTGAAAAACAAATATAAATGAAGCAGAGAGCTCCAAGCCAGTATAGCTTTCTCTTTCCTAAAAGGAGCTGTATAAGAGAGAGGAAACAACTTTTTGTCATCAATAAACTTTCAGAATTTGTTTTGATCACATTTACAGTATTATGAATGTGCTAAATTAATACAATGTAAGTAAAAGAAGTCTTAGGGGCTAAAATATTCTCAATTTTTATAAAAATTTAAAAGCATTACTAAAATAAATTAATGCCTTATCCCATGTTATCACAAAATATTAAAATAGATATCTATGTTGCTGATATTTTTACTCCAGATATATCATTTTATTCCATTTATATTCTATTTACCTAAGATTTATTGAGCACCTCTGTAAAAATAAGGCACTGTTTTGGATATGAAAATTCAGGAATGAAGAAATAAAGTACCAGTTTCTTTCCAAGCATACAAAAATCAACTTGTTATAAAACACAACTATACTAGGATTTCTGAATAACAGTTATAATACAAATCAACTTGTTATGAAAATTAAATTGCCCAAATTTCTTTTCTGATATTTTCATTGCCTAAAAACTTCAAGAATGTTTACAAATGTGGTACATCCTGGATTGGTATGATTTAATTTACTTACAATTCAAAACACAGAAAGGCATGTACACAAACACAAGAGTATCCAAAGTATACACAGTCTGCTAGGAAAAATCCAGAAACCTTTATGCACAAACACATGAGAATCCAAAGTAAACACATAGGTAAGTATATTAGTTCCTTAATGCTACTTATTCAAAAAGAATTTCCTCTGAGCATTTCCAGATACCTTTTCTTTCTGAGGAAAGAAAACTAAAGTTTTCACCTAAAGAAAAGACCTTATTAACTATCTAAAATGATATGCAACGTCGTATAGGACTCAAACGCCAAAGCTTTGACAGACCATATATAAACATATCAATTCAATCATACTTCTGTATTAATGAAAAAGATAAAATACAGCAGATTCATCAATCACTTTTTTGCCTAAATCAACAATAGAAATAATACAAAAGGCAACAAAATATATTTGAAGATGTCAGAAAAGGGAAAGCACGGTTATTGTTTTTAAGAGTGTTAATACAGGCAAGTCTTTTACTACAGATACTAACACCTCCGAACTTGTTGTAGAATTCAATAATCAATCATGAACTTAATGAAACAACTATAAACCTTCCAGACTACACCAAGGTTTTCCATTCTCTTTCTAGAGGCTTTGGAGACTATGGATTACTGTTAACATGTACACACATACATACACACACTTCCACTTTGAGAACTCTGGCAAATGTTTCAGTAATAAATGTCTAACTAGTATCCAGTGATCAGCAAAAGTACATTTCCCAAAGGTCTACTGAAGACCTAGAATAGTAACACCTGGGATATTTAAAGTGCAGATTCCTAGGGTTCACCCCCAATTTAATGAATCAGAATCCATGGGTGTGGAGCCAGGGAATCAGAAAATTTAATAAGCATGCCCAGAAAATTCTTATGCTCACTAAATCTTGAGAAACAATGAGAAAACTCTACAGCAGACACTAACTCCTCTACTATTTTTCACCCAGTTAATAATATCAATCAATCGGTGAGACAGTCAGAGGAAGAAAAGTTTTGTCATACATATGCGTGCATGTGGTTATATTTTAAGAACAGAGAATTAAACATGATTCCCACTGTATAAAGAAATATCAAGGCCCTGGCCGAGTAGCTCAGTTGATTAGAGCATCGTAGGGTGTGCCATGGTTGCAGGTTTAATGCCTAGTCAGGGCACAATCAACCAATGAATGCATGAATAAGTGGGACAACAAATGGATGTTTCTGTCTCTCTAATTCTCCTTCCTCTCTCTCTCTCTTTAAAATAAAAAAATGTAAAAAAGGAAATGTCATGTAGAACTCTTCCCCTTTCCATCTT